ATATATATATATATATATATATATATATATATATACGCACACACATATATACACAGGATGTTCCATTGAGCAATTTGGAGTAGTCTTTTCTCAAAAAAAATGTCGAGGCACTTGTAATTGTCGAATGATTGCAAGTATCTAAGAATTCCTGGTGATTTAGTTGCAAAAGAAATGAATAACGGAAGCTTAAGTTTGATTTAACTTTAAAAAGATATTTTTTTAATAGAAATTTTATTTGAAAAGTTCAGTCACACAGATATTAAATAATATTAAGAAATTATTCAACAATGGAATTCAAAATTATGTGTGAGGTTTCCCTCGAGCGTTCAGGAGATTCGTAAATTATCCGGTCTTAGGACATCCTATATATTCGGTAAAGAAAGAAGCAATTTGTGTATTGCATTACTGACTGCATGACGATTTTGCAAGCAATGTTATAAGCATATATTTCATTATCGCAAGTTTATCAACGTTAACGTAAAAAATAAGAAAACACAAATGTTTCATGAATAAATTGGTCTATTTTCTCCAAGTATTAAACTTTAAACAAAAAATATACCAGAGATATATGTATATATATACACAGAAATCATAGTAGCGCTTGAGAATCGGAGAGAATAACTGAAATTAATAATTTTAACTACGTATATACAAACATGTACAATCCACTGTTCCCTCAATCCTACTACTATCCTTCGTTTATTGCATGAGAAAGAATAAATAAATATTCACATTCTCCTCTTTTCTCCAGTTTGCGAATGTAGGAGTGAATAAAAAATATATATATATTTATATATATATATATATATATATGATGCCGTTTCCGACAACATTTGGTTTAAATGCTTTTTCATACAACCTTCTTACGAGTTGGAACATATTAAAGTTAAATTGGACATACCAAAAGAATCACTTTGGAAATTCGAAAATATAAAAATCATTGCTTGAACTTGTCCAAAACGTATTGTATATCACATAGTTACTACGCATTCTCACAGTCTATATTACAGTAAAATTTCAAGTATACGGTCTGGATATATACTGTTACATGTGTGTATCCTTCCATTTACAGCAGCTTAATAGAAAATACATACGTGATACATTCGTCGCGACGTCCGCTATATTGAACATGTAGCCAATAAAATGATATCGCAAATAAAATGTGAACTGGCATGCACAAACGTAGTGTCGATGTAATGTGCTCATCTCGTTTTGGTATTCGCAACAAATTATTGTTTGAGGATTTTCTATTAAGCCGGTATTACGGCACGTGTACGAGAAGTATTATTATTACTAGAATCATATTTGTTAATTTGTTATCACGACGAGTGTCAATAGTATATCTTCTATAAATCTTTTTCTTATATATAAAAATCATAGGCGTTCTTTCTCTTTCTCTCTCTCTCCATGTAATGAGCATTAGTACATTAATCCTGTATATTGTAGACAATGTGTATAACCAGTATAAAAATGTGCATTTCATCTCAAAACAAGGCATGTACGAGACAACAATTGATGGTGTATAAAAATGTTATAAAATTTGGAAATGCTATAAAAAGCTAGTTCAATTAAATTGGACCTGATTATCTTTATAGGAATGTAAACAAATTCACTTATATAAAATATACCAATTATCAAAAATTCATCTATATATGCCGTATGTGGAGCGGTATATGTAAAAAGCTTAAGTATCAATTTCAATCATTCGGATTTTTAGGCTTTATATATAAACTTATATATATAAACTATATGTATAAGCTATATATATATAAGCTATATATATAAACTTAGTATTATCATTAGTATTGTTTTCATATATTAATGGAAGTGCATATTTATAAATTTACTCGTGGTTAGTAAACTTATATCTCCTTCCTAATTTTTTTTTCGCCGATTAAAAGATAGCAAAGATTTTATGTAATAGATGATCTAATTACAGAGAATCGAAACACACGCACACACACTTCGTTAGCTTGTGACTGTACCGTTGACCGCAATTATATTTTCAAGAAAGTGTCCAGTGCAACGCGTATATCGGTGCGCGATGCACATCGTTAGATAAACTAATAGAACAGATATCAAGTATGTAGAAACTCCTGGATTCTACATAAAACTCTTTGGCTTAACCAACATCATTACATAAAATCTTTGGGGTACGATTTATGTGCGCGTATACATACAATAAAAGATTGTTACTTTCATTTGCTAGAAACAGTTAGACAGAAATTTCTTTTTTACGCAAAATATACTTCTTACTCTTTTTTTCTTTTTCTTCCATAATTTTTTTGGTACATTACAGTGGTTCAGTCCTAATTGCGCCAGTTTTGTCAGCCGACAAAGCACAAGATAACAAAATTTTTTAATCGATTACACATGCATACATAGACGTAAACACAATATCATATTTATAATATGCTAAATTAGACGTAGCTTACACAAATTGCTGTTGCAAAATCTGGCTATTTTGTGACGAAACGTCGAGAAAATCAGTTCACGCAATTAATTCATGAATCCGCACAATATGGAAAAGGAATAATACTGATCATTCGTGTGAAAATTGAATTTTCCTTCGAAAGTATAAGTGTATATTCCATAAAGGATCAGTTATCAAATTAACAAGACAGACGAATAAAATGTGGTGTTGCGTGATGCAATCATAAAATTTCGAATCGCCATTGCATATTTTTCTAATGCATAATTATAATCCTATATCTCAGCGACTCGGCGCAAGGAAAATTGTATTGTCGTATTACGTGTATAAAAAAAAAACTGTATGAAACATTCATGAAATCTCAATTGACATTTAATTTTGTATAACAGGAAAACGATTTCAGTCAATACGATTATCATAATCCTCAGTCTGCGAGAATGACAACAGCACCTTACAAAGCGAATCTCGAGGGGTGAAATAATATACGGTATGCAAGATATAAAGATTTGAGTAATATTGCATCGTCTCTTCAAAGGAAGAAATATGAGCGAACAATTTTCCTTCTTTTTTTCCCCCACAGCAATTTGAACACAAACTGGTTAGTTTCATTTGGTTTATATGGCATGAATCTAGTATATTTGGTTTTTTCCCTTTGTTACTTAATATATTCAGCGTTAAAGGGTAATTCGTCTTAAGTAAGAAATAAGTTATTCCACAGACCAGTGAAGTTCTGGTTCAACAACCAGCGATAACCTTACGCATTACACCATGGGAAAAGCATCGGGGGGATCACGTAGATCTGTACAAACGTAAGAATCTAAATTGGATTATTTGCAACTGATCCTTCTTTTTATACAAATATATGTTAATCCGCATATTATTGTAGAAATTATCGACAACGTATAGAATACAAAGTAGTTATGTACATATTTGTATAATAATCTCCTTACAACCGTTCAATATTCATCGAAAGCGATCAAAACGTATTTTAATATTTTATATATATATATATATATATATATATATATATACACACACATATATATATATATATATAATGTATACAGAGTCAAAATTCTCAATATATCTTTACATCAGGCAGTTTTATCTTTTTTTTTCGTCTGCTACGGACATATCGATATACGGAGGTAAATATCCCATTCGCCTATCCATACAGATATATTGTCTTATCAAAATGTGCTTTTTCTTTCTCTTTCTCGAGCTAGTCTGCGTCGTAATATCTCTCGAAAACTACGGGTTCGATTAAGGGTGTATGCTAAATGTTAATTTCTGCCGCGTACCTTTGTGTTACTAGCTGCTTCATGTGTGCGTTCAATTCCTCCGTCTCCGCGGCATTATTGAAGCATGAGGGATTCCAAGTTCCGATGCAGAATGGTGTCCTTCACCGCATTGAAGACCACTTTAATGTTCTCCGTGTCCACCGCGGTGGTGAAGTGATGGAACAGCGGCTTCCTCGGGTCCCTCTTCACCGAGATGAACATGTCGAGTATGAAATTTTGCACGTCCTTCATGGAATGTGGATCACCCGTAAACTGCGGAAAGTACCAACGGACATTCGTATCCGGCGACCTCACTTTCTTGTCGAGCAAGTCGGTTTTGTTCAGGAACAGGATGATGGAGACACCACAGAATATCATGTTGTTTACAATCGTGTCGAATATATTCCTGGACTCCTCCAGTCTGTTAGTCCTCCTGCGAGAGATTAGTCGCACAATCGTTATCTTGTTGCGTCATCGGCGCATTGAATACACACCGGTATTGAGGGGCGTGTGTGTAGAATACAAATGGAGACGATAACGTACCTATCTTCGAGCAAGACCTGGTCAAATTCCGATGACGAAACGAGGAATAGTATGGAAGTCACACAGTCAAAACACTGGTACCACTTTTGCCTCTGAGACCTTTGGCCGCCGACGTCGACAAAGAGGAATGGGATGTTGTTAATTGGTATTACGAATTCAGAGATCCCCTTTGTCGCCTTCCTACAGTGTAAGATATCCTGATGTGTAGGCGTGTACTCCTGCAAAGATATCTCTCTTGTATGCTCAATGATAGACGGAAATAACCGAGGTCAAAAGTAAACAATGTATGTAGTAACGCTTTTATACTTCGTTCAAGTAAAAAATATAACACAGGCTAAATGATAAATTTTTATGATAAACAGTCGAAAGTATTACCACTCTTGCAATCCTATCGAGATTGTCCAAGAAGTACTGGACAGAATCGCTCTGGAAATATCAAGACAATATGTAAGTACGAGGTATAAATTTAAATTTAAATAATGCATTTAACACTGTTCATATCTCGCAAAGATTATCGCAAAGTTGGTAGGATGAGAAACTCTTACTAATTGGAACTCTCTTCGCCTATCGAAGGCTCTTCTAATCGATGCGTCTTTCCACAAGCTTTGTAGCCCCGGTACATAGTGCAGAAACAATCTAGCGTCCAACACCATTGTGTTCTCGAATTTGAGTAATTGAAAGCCAATATCATAATTCTTAGGATTCTCCCACGGAATATTTAGCTTGTCCCGAGCATCTACCAAAACCTTCATCCCCTTAATTATGTTCTGGTAGATCACATGTTGATACTCCTTAATCAACTCAGGCTGGAAAAGAATATGTACTGTCAAATTCCCCGAAGATCTTGCGTTAAAGAAGCACATATGGAAATATCAAATGTTAAATAACACATGCACGTATAATCTGTAACTTGCGGCTTCTATAGATCTCTGATAAAAAGTACAATCAATGACAGACGTCATGCGTCTGTAACTAAACATTCAACATATTTGAGTTAATTTAACAGTTTAAACGGTTCAAATTCCTTGGAGGATAAAGTGAGCCATAAAGATAAAAGCACAGATTGTATAGTAGTACAAAATTAACAAAGTGTTACAAATAGCAAAACTACTGCTATCAGAACCGTTTAATTATAAAAAAAGAGGATCATAAGGCTGGTTTATCCCAAAGTATTCAAAACATTCTATTATTGTAAGAACTATTGAAATCCGACGATTTTAGTCTAAACCAGACATATTTTGACAACTGTTTATCCTGTAACTGACTTTGGCTAAAATCATGTGGTTTCAATAATTCTCACAATGATAGAATGTTTCTGATACTTTAGAATGAAATTCAGAAAGAGCTGAAAAGGCCTTATGAACCCTCTTCATTTATAATGTCCATCCGATTGGACGTTATAGATCTATTCTTTTTCACTAAACTTACTGCATTAACTTATATTAGTTCTCTTTTTTTTCATCTTAACAGTACATCTGTCTTCTCTTAAATTCTATAAATATACTAATTCAGTGGAAAAGAACTGACCTATAAATTTCACAATCAAACAACTCAAAAAGCAATAATTGCTACTTGTAACACTTTATATTTTCATGGCACTATATGATCAATATTTTTGCTCTCACCGGCCTATTTCCTCCTTTCTTCGACTGAACATCTGAGGGCTTAAAATACTGCATTTAAATCTCTCGGTTTAGCGTACAACGTACAACCTATCCAGTCCGGCGCTCTAATCGAATTACAGTACTTTCCCCGTAGCGGATGTAATTGAACTACTATTTATCACCGCGCGCTCGGCAACGAAGAAAACATACGCGCGTCATATACCTAGCTCGCCTACCGTCGCCTATTCTCCGACGTCTCTTTGGATCGTCACGCCAATTATCGCCGAATTATCACAATAAGGCCGAGTCGAGGTGCCCCGCTGAATATGCAGGCCAAGTCACTGAATGTTCTGCATGAGACGAGATATACCGTTCCGAGGTGTCACCGAACGCGTCGCGCCCAAGGTGGAACCCCGGCGACCGGGTCCCCCAAGACGAACGACCGTCCCGTCAAACGCGAGAGCACGTGCGGTCTTACCTCGAACTTGATCCCGTGAATGATCCGCATCTGCTTGAGGAATGTCGACTTGCCGCTCTCGCCTGCCCCGAGCAGCAGCAGCTTGACCTGCCGGCGGAACGCTTGCCGGTCCTTCTCCAGCATCCGGTCGATCTCCTGGCTTTTGTAACGCTGCTCGATCTCCTCCGGGCTGAACTTGAAGCGCAGGCAACAAGTACACGACCACGTTAAGGAGCCCGCCATCTTGCTACCCTGCTCGCTCCCTCTCTCTCGCTCGGTCGTTCTGCTACCCTCCTCCTCGTCTTCCTCTTCCTTCCGTGCTTCCTTCCTTCTCCTCTTCGCGCCCTTCCAGCTACTTCCGCCGAGACGTCACTCACACCTCGCGCACTGGAGTGTCCGCACCGACGTGCGATCCCGCTCGCGACACTGCGAATCAACGGAACACCGGAGTAACCAGGAGTAACCGCACTCGGCGCGGCTCGCAGTCCCTTTCCCTTCGCCCGCCACCCACCCGGCCCGCGAAAGCGTACGTACGCGCGCACGCACGTATGTATGACGAACGAACCGCCCTGCCGCGCGCTCACCGGCCGATCGGGAGGAGAATCGCCGATTCAGAACCACATTTCTCGGCCAGGCGTAGCCGGGCGGCGGAATGCGCGCCAGCGGTGTCGCCAGCGGTGCGAGCCGTCGCGACGACGACGTCGCGCACGCTCGTTTTCCGAGCTGCCTTGTACACACCGCGTATACCGTTATACACGCGTGACGATGGGGTTCGGAATATCGGAGGAGGGACAGAGATACGGTAGAAAGAGAGAACGAGAGAAAGAATGAAGGATGTGTGGAAAGCTCACGCCGCAGCCACTGTTAACACCGATGATGCTGATAATATCGCTACTGCTGCTGCCGACGCTGCCGTTTGGCCACAATCGCCTTTGGTATCCCGCGAATTGGGCATGATTAAATAATCACGGTAATTACGGGGCGGCGCTCCTCACCGTCGGCCGACGACGTCCGCGTTTTCTGTGTCACGGCGGTCGCTGACAAGCGGCCGTGATACGTCTCGCGTTGGTGTGTGTGTGTGTGTGTTGTCTCTCTCTCTCTCTCGCTGGCGCCGAAGAGAGGCACGGTCGTTGCTGCACACGTTGACGAGTGTCGCGACACACCTCCCGTGCTGGCGATCACGGTGACGATCGACGATCGAAGACGAGTTAACGCGCGCGTGCGACCACGGCTGCCGTGTCGGTGCGAGCGATGCCGAGCTGTACTACATGGTAGTCGGCGACGGGGCAGAGGAAGGCGCAGAGCAACGCGACAGCGAGTGTGATAAAACGCGCCGTCCGTCGCTTCCCCACTACACACTATAGCCGTCCGCTTCCGCGTCCCTCTCAGTAGTGTGGGTCTGCTGTAAAGATGGACGACGGTATCTCCCTCTCTCTCTTACTCCCTCCCTTCCCTCAATATGGTTTCAAGCGACCTACAGGCGCACCCTCAATACCCTATTCAACGAAGATTGGACGGCTCTCTCTTTTAAAGGTAGCTTCAGCCAGCTCAATGACGCATCCCCAACACATTCATAGAAATATAGATTTGTAACGGATTTAAGAAGTTGAGAATGTAAGGTGGAATTCCAGAAAATGCGTTCCGTCAAGGCGGAACTTTGTCAAAAAAAAAAAAAATACGCGATTCTACAACGAACAAAGTCCTCACCAACACGCGACCCTTCAGAAGTACTGCCCGGATACTCTCACGAGACTCAAAATTGGATAGCACTCTTTCTCCTTCTCACAGTGATGCTTCCAGAAATTCCGTTAAGGGGGATTTCCAACACCAGTTAACAAATTATGTAAGATGGGACTCCAAGTTTGTGTTCTGCCAAGGTAGCAACGACTTTGTCAGAAATAGGTACGAAGGATATAGGAACAAAGGACTCGGTGCAGACTACCGAACAAAGTAACAAACACACCTGTACTCTTCAGCGACTCTCACAAGACTCAAAATTGGACGACGGTTCGCATATACGAATGACCGATGAATCGATGTTCGATTCCATTTCTCTCGTTTTTTTCTTCGCCGGAGAATCGATTGTCCTCTCGATATCTCCCGATTCGATACCGAGGTCGATTAGTACAGACGGAGGGCGATGTTCGCCCGATTTTAAATCGAAGATCGTTTTGAATTCACCAAAAGGTGCTGCGGCGGTCGTTTTATCGAACTTGCATTATGTATACATTGGAATAATGGGGAATTTTTATAAAAAAATAATATTTTTCAGATATGATGAACACTAAAATGCGTTCCGGTTATTCACTGCCAATACTTCAAATCTATAGATATGTAACACACAAATTGAAAATTCGCAGTGCTGCCAGTATATATCGGAATACACCCATAGTATTTACCCAAAACTTAAACTGTAAGAAATTGGCCAACCACAATAGATCATTCTTCTCACGCTCGATTGCGATTGGTCGCAATTTTTCTTACGATTTCAAGATTACTGCACCAATTGTAGATCCAGCTTAAACCACTTCATAAACTTGTGACGTCAAATCGGTCACATTGTCAGTAAAAACGGGAAATAATTTGTGCGTTTATTACCGCGCGAAAAAAGTATGAATTCCTGCATTACATTGTATTCGAAGAATTCATAAATTGAAAAAATTCATATGATCCTCTGACATTGATTGTGTTTAGAACTGAAAAGACGTCAACATGAAATGTGTTATACTCGGGGGAAATGTCAAAAGTATGTCGGTTCTTTTTTAATTTAGGTTATATCGCCCGGTATTGCAAAATTATGCAGTGCGAGGAACATTGCTATTAATTTAATGTTCCTTCACCGCCTTGTTCTGCAGCAATTTATGTAATATTACTATATAAATTGCTAATAAATAATACACAAAGACATGATACATATGTGCATATTTAATATAAACCATTCTATCGTATACAATCTAATTATATCTTTTCAATACTGTTAATTAATATTCTTTATTTTTCTTAATGCAGTTTTGGCAAAAGCCATACACATGCTGGCAAAAATTGGGGACGAGATGTATGTGAACCCACAGCAAGAATTCATATCTTTTCGTACAGTCAATATGGCCAAGTCAGCATATTCTGACTTTACGTTTCACAAGAATTTCTTTTCTTATTATGCCCTCGGAGATCTTGAGAAAGAAGAAGCACAAAAGTGTAAAATATCTATGAGAGTAGGGTCATTTACCTCTCTTGTATTAGGATAATATCTTTATCATTAGACTTCAGAAGTATATTCCATATTTTACAGAGCGCCATGACTCTCTTCAAATCTGCACATGCAATGGACAAGCATGTGGAGACCTGCCACATTAATCTGGAACCAAATGCTTGTAGTCTAGAATTCATCTTGAAGTACAGGAATGGCATTAACAAGTCCCACTTGTCACCCATCTTGGACGATGAGAAGTTGCAAGTATACTGAAAATATTCTTGTTGCATTCAATTTTGGGTATATATGCTTCATAAATTTAAAAATATTTCTATTCAATACCATTGAATAGCCAACGTAATGTTTGAATTTTTTAAAATAAATTCAATTATATTAATATTACTAAATAATGGAAAATTTGGATTGAATTTAACTATTCATGTTGCCGAGGAAAATTGTTTTATGTACTGAATTTTTGGATACAATGGATCATTTTTTAATAAATTATAAATTGTACAGGCATCGTATACTAAGATTGGCATGAAAAACGAACTGATGTCTCGGGCCCGAACATTAGTGGACGCTCTACAGAATTTTCAGTCGAACCTAATCGAAATAACACTTGAGGTAACGCCACAGAAACTGTTGCTCAGGAATTACGTGGATGATACCTCAGGTAAATCGAGTGAGCGATTTCTGATAAAATCCTTGATAAACACAAGATTACGTTACTTTTATTGGTATATTATTCTATGTTCAGGTCTGCAGAACACTACACGTACACAGTTGGTCCTGAGTGTCGGTGAGTTCGACCGCTACATAGTAGAGAATGAGACGGTTGTCACGTTCTGTCTGAAAGAATTTCGAGCTTTTCTTACCTTCAGTGAAAGCGTAGGTGCTTCAGTTAGTGCACATTTCGAGACTGCGGGGAAGTACGTATTCTTCATTCAAATTCCTTCATTTTATCCTAATTTAATTCTATATGCACCAGGGTTGGTTAAATTAACTTCTTTGGTGTTAAATTAAAAGTTAGTAGTGGCCTATGTAATTATCTTCTAACTTAAGTTAATTTGTCTAACCCTGATATGCACGTATGTGAAAAATATATCACAATTATTTTTTAACATACCATAGAGTATTTATTTTTTATTGTTCTGGATTTGTACTTCTATTTATACTTTAATCCTTATTATATTTTATCCTTTATTTTATTTTAATTAAATTTTGTCTTATTTCAATTTATTTTAATCTATTTTTTATTTTTATTTTAATAAAAATCCTTCATGTTATATGCATAATATTTTCTAGACCAGTGCTGTTCGCTCTGAAGAATCATAGCTTGGAGGTGAACCTATTGTTATCGACTTTGAGCCCGGATTGCGACAGTCAATCAGACATCTCAGTTATCAGCAGGCACGTGCAATCTTTTCGCAAGAAGTCAACCTCGAGATGTAAGTCGTCTTCTAGAGGGAACGTCAAATCTGCGGGTAGAACGAAGAAGTCTGCTGCCAACCTGACAATCAATAATACATCCAAGAAGCGGGTCACGGAAGAGATTAATCAGAGGAATAAGACACCTGATCGAGCTGAGAAGGACGTTGCGGCGATATCGAAAACGGGAGATCCCGCGACGAACAACGTAAGGGAGAGGAGTCAAGCCGAACCGGAGCAGAGTCATTTATTCGCCATCAGTCCTGCCAGCACGACGTCGTCGACGACTCGCAGAAGAATCCCGGAGAGCCACAGGAAATTGGTGAATTCGGTATTCTCCAGCATCACGAAACGGAAGTCGACGAGTGACAACGAGAACTTTTCCATAAAAGAAGGACAGGCCAAGGAGTTCATAGATCCGAACGAAAGCATACCACGCTCACCGCCGCGTCAACCGATAACTAAGAGAGCTAGAGTAGTGTTTCAGAAGTGCTTCCAAAATACATTCGATCCACGAATGCTGCCCGGTCATGACACAATCCTGGTGGAGGACTCCGACGAGAACAACAGCGACTGAATCTGTCGTGAAAAACCATAGTGCGAATTCTTAGGCCTTTTTTTTGTCTTTTTTTGTCAACCGTGTTGAGTGTAAATCAAAGAAACGCGAGATCGATATCGCGCAGGCGTAATATTTCGAGAGCAGATCGAAAGGGAAGTTAACGGGACCCGTTTTACTCGAAAACGGATAGTGCTCTTTGTGAAGACCAATATACGTTAATTTATACACAGAGAGCGTATTATATATATATATATTGTGGAAATATTTCACTGAAATGTTATTAAATCCTTTCTACAGATCTTTGTCGCGGAGAACTTTCCTATACACATTTTTTTTTTATATCGATATGCGCCATCGTGTTATATTTAACCAAGTTAACCGATTAATTAGTTATTTTAATTTAGTTTAAAAGTGCACATATATAAATCTGAGCACGCCTCCTTTTGCCATTTTTAATGTTTTTTAATGGGTATATTTGTCTCATTACGTCTAACAAATTTGAATTTTGGTTCTTGGTTTCAAAATTTTCGCCATAAACGTGCCACTGACAGGCCGAGGTAGTAGTACGACTCAACGAGAAGTCAGGCGGATCTTAATTTTTTTCAAGTAGCATCATGCGTAATGAACTTCCCCATCTTTCATGGTGGTCTATGACCGCGGCGTGGCTTATTTACCGTTCATTCTCGTCGTCATTAATTATTCACATTGGTGTCACGATATAAAGTTAACACGAACGTTTAACGTTGGAGAGTAAGGCGTCGTCGAATTATGACCACGGTTGTGTTAAAATACGAAGTATTTGCCACGCGTTTGAAATATTAACCTACAAAGGTATCGACAGCAATGTGGGATGACTCGAGCTCTGAGATTTGGCGTAAAATTAATGAAGATTTCTGGCGTCGAATTGAAAAGTAACGTCGCGACCTTATTCTTCCTTCTCGTCCTTCTGGATTGATGAGTGTAAGATCGATCGACTTTTCGGTGGCGTGCATCAACGCCGTCTGAGGTCGTGACCATGGCGAATCCTGACAGAAAATCCAACGAACCGTACCGCGAACTGGAAGAATCGCACGGTGCCGAGCTGAACGTTTGTGCTCAGAGCACGTCGAGCTGTCCAACGAGTCTCGAAAATGGCACCGAACGATCCATGGAACTTTCTTCCGTCGTGGTCATACCTGACGGTACGTTACAATTATATTTTGTATGTGTGTGTATGTGTGTGTGTGTACAAGTTATATTTGTAGAAATTACAATATATCACACTGTCTAATCATCTTCCATTTTCCAACTGTACAGAAGGGTTCACCTAACTCTAACGCTCTAAGGAAGAACCATATTCTGTGTAAATACCTAACGTCGCATGGTAACATAACACCGTGGGAGCTGGGTCTTACTAATGGCTATCTTAAGTTGGGCTGATAACATCACATAGGACATTACGCAAAATGTCTCCAATAACAGTACCTGTTAGAAATGCATGCGCACGAGGAGACAGGTCTGTACATCAATTTTACTGATTTTATCCAGCAATATGATTCTTTAGTCACGTGACATTTTCAATTCAAATGTCAAATAAAAATCAGTAATGCTGTTCGGCTCTGTATAATAAGTAATTTGTGAATACTACGACTTGAAATAACGAAGTCCCGTTGAAATTTCACCGACAGATACGTTTACTGTGGTGCAAGCTATCAATGCACTGGGCTTCGGTAAATTCCAAGTCAAGCTGTCTCTGTTCACGGGTCTGTGTTGGATGGTGGACAGTATGGAGATCACCATACTGAGCATCCTGAGTCCATCCCTGCACTGCGACTGGGGCATTTCCAGATACCAACAAGCACTGACAACAACGGTAACTTTGTTTCATTCGAGATGATTACTAAGGGTCAAGGCACAGACAAAAATGTAAGCGGTAAAACTTAAGCAGTAAGAGATGTTCTTACGGTCGAAGAATAATCGACTGTGATTGGTCAATTTGCTTATTTATGTCTTACTGCTTACGTTTTTCTGTGTACCATAGCTCTAACAGAACGATTATAATTGGAAGTCGTACTTTCAGGTAGTCTTTCTTGGCATGATGTTAAGTTCCACGTTCTGGAACAACTTGAGCGAGAGATACGGTCGCAAGCAAGCCTTGACTTTGTGCGCGGTGCTGCTGTCTTACTACGCCTTTCTCAGCTCATTCGCACCGAACTTCCTCTGGATCCTGTTGCTTCGGGGAGTTGTAGGCTTTGCTATTGGTTGTGTACCGCAATCGTAAGTATTTGGTAAGTTTCTTAAGGACGCGCCGTTTCCCCGCCCTGCGATACATCGTTATCATCGACGCATTCCCTTCTCCACAGAGTGACATTGTACGCCGAGTTCCTCCCAGCGAAGCAGAGAGCAAGATGCGTTATTTTACTGGATGTAAGTTGACACAGGTATTTCAAGGTTGAATCACACGCACGCGCCGAGTGTGCACAACGCAGTTACAATAAAAAGCGTGTATGTTGATATAGTGTTTCTGGGCGCTCGGAGCTTGTTTCGAGGTCGCGATCGCCCTGATCGTCATGCCCAATTTCGGCTGGAGATGGCTTCTCATACTGTCATCCATTCCGCTCTTCGTATTCGCCGTGATAACACCGGTTTGTAACACGTACATTTACCTTCAATATGTATGTCATTCATCGATGAATGAATGAGTTGAAAAATTATCGACCACTGGATATATATTTGCAGTGGCTCCCAGAGTCTACAGTGTTTGACATGGCAACTGGCAGAATAGATCGCGCGATCTCTACATTGGAACGCGTAGCTAGGGAAAATAAGAAATCATTGCCTCTGGGGAGACTAGTTATGGATCGCTTTTACCAAGGCCACCACGGACGATTCAGAGATGTTCTGAGCAAAGAGATGTGCAAAACGTCCGCTTTACTCTGGCTTGTTTGGTAAACACTATTTCTATCCAAGAACCTCGCCCGTTTGGATCCCCTTTGGAGCCTAGTAATGACTCGCATATTGAGTGATGCCCTCTTCGGAGTCACGAAAATCGGGAAGAGGGACAATTTCTTATAATTAGAGTTCGTACCGTACAAGCGTGTATCTCAAATATACTTGTTTCTCCCTCTATCTCTCGTCTAATTTTCCAGGATGACCACAGCCTTTTGTTACTACGGAGTAGTGTTGATGACCACCGAGCTCTTTCACACATCCTCGGAGCAATGCGGCTCCCTGGACGCGAGCAGGGAGGAGGAGGACACGTGCCAATTCGACTGCCGACTACGGCGCGGCGATTACATCGATCTGCTTTGGACCACGCTGGCGGAATTCCCCGGCATTTTCTCCACCGTCTACGCGATCGAGAAGATCGGCAGGCGGAAGACGATGGCCTGCCAGTTGGTGATGTTCGCTATGGTGGTCTGCTTTTTGGGCAGGACCTGCTTATTGAGCAGAGCGGCCTTGACCATCGCCATTTTCCTGGCCAGAGGCTTGATCGCCGGGGTGTTTCAAGCCGCGTACGTGTACACGCCCGAGGTGTACCCCACGCATTTGCGCAGCATAGGTGTAAGTGCGTGCAGCGCCATGGCGCGAATCGGCGCGATGGTCACGCCGTACATAGCGCAGGTGTTTCTGCAATGGTCCATCACGGGGGCGATGGCGATCTACGCGACCACAGCGTTGTGCGCGGCGATCGCCACACTCGCGCTCCCTGTGGAGACCAAGAGTCAGCAATCAAACGATACGAGTCAAGAGAATAGGTAGATGTACTTCTGTTGAAATATTTTAGCAGGCGCTTCGCAACCTTGAAGTTACTTTTAAGCAGGGTTGAGTAATAATTAGTTCAAATTCAAGTCAAGAAGTTAATAAAAGAAAAGTTTTCGGGCACTTGCTGAAATTGTGTAATCAAAGAGAAAATAACGTACTGATCGCCCGTCATTTTGCACAGAGCAATTGTTACAGCGCGTGTCTCGTGATCTAAATTTGATTTGGGCCTTGTTTTAAGACAATTTTATGCTAATAACCTTTCTTTAGATGCTACTCTTATAATTACTTGCAATTTGAAATGTAAAAATTGGTTTGAGATTGTAAATATTAGTAAATTCTGATTTTTGTAACCACAGTATTCACCAATGAATAGAAAACAATATATTAGAACAATATATTGAAACTACTGGAGATACAGTTAGTAGAGGTGTTTGAGGTGTAAATATTTTTCTATGTTATTGATGGTTTGACGAAGGTAGAAAATAAATATTGTTGCATCTGGAGGATAGTATACATAATTAACTATGCGCGCTAAACTTTGAGTGTGGAGAGTGATGTCCGGAAACTTTTGGCAGACAATATATGTACATAGTTTTGCATAATATCATTTAACTTTAACAAGTTAATTAGCTTTTAATTAAGTTAATCTTTGTTTATACTAATTTTTAATTTAACCAATTTAATTTTATTAACTTTTAACTTAGGTAAAAATAAATATTAACTTTCTCAATCCTGCTTTTAAGTATAATATTATATTACAATACATAACGTGTTGTTACGTAAGCAGGTACTTAATCAACTTTGCTTTTGACTTTATTGAGAATTGATGTTACATGTGTATTTACACATACACATGTATAATTTTATAAATAGGTTATTATAATATATATTTTTAAGCTGCGTTTGTTTGCAATTTACTTATATGAGCGTATTCTCTGTTACGAGTCGTGAACGCACGCGCATACATATACAATACAGTACATATTTTATCTATTTATTGTAATCTTTAGTGTTAAGATGATATTGTTTTTGTCACAAGAGCAATTTTATGATTAGATAGGAAACTAATCGCACATTACAGAATATACATACAATGCACAAAGACTGATACGTAATTGTCAAGAAAAGTGCCAATGTAAGTGTTAATCGTAAACGCGCATCACTGTCAGTTTTACATTAAGAACGACGAGTGTTTAATTTAGATCATATTTGGTATAATAAAATCACTAAAATTATATTTAAAATGTACTTTTGTATCTTCGAGGCTTGTCCGAATACCTTCCTGAGTAACCACGTGGTCCTTTTAGTAACTGTGCCAGTATTGTGTGCACATGTGTGCGTCGTTTCATGTGGTAGAAACGTAGGAGATAAATCAGCGTCTCTCGCGTTGCTCTCGCGATCACCACAAATATTTGATAAATATAAGGAATTAAAAACGGTTGGTGTTAGTGTCAAGTTACAGGACTGCTGAAGTAGAAACACTCGGTGTAAATTTTCCAGAATGGTGAGTATTAATCAAAGAAATCGGAGCTTTATTGCGATCTAAGATTCTTCAATAGAGGTTAGACACGCATGACTCCTTATATGGTAACATAGCTAGGCTGCAAGATGCAAATCTTAATTAGATTTTCGAACACATTTCATAATATATCCAGAGCGTTTCGATCAAGTCGATTTTTCGCTTTCAGCAAGATCCGAATGAGGATACCGAATGGAACGACATTCTCAGAAGGAAAGGTATCATACCTGAGAAGGAGAAGGAGAAAGAGGTTACCGAAGATCAAATAGTAAATCTCCTTGAGAGTACTATAGATGAAAAAACAGGACGTGGTAATTGCACATATTGGCTTTCAATTGCGTTGCTCTTTCCATGGATTTGGAGTAGTTAATGACTTATTGTACATCTGATTAGCTCCGAACAACTTAGAAGAAAAGTCCTTGGACGAATTGGATGAGCTAGAAGATGAAGAGGACGAACGAGTGCTCGAGGAGTATCGACAAAAGAGGATAGCAGAATTGAGGGAGTTAGCGAACAGATCTAAATATGGGGAGGTACGGGAGATATCGGCGGAAGATTACGTTCGAGAGGTCAACAAAGCCGGGGAGGATATCTGGGTTGTTCTACATCTTTACAAATCTGGGTACAATAATAATGCAATTGAATTTTCACAACACATCCTATAGTGTACCTCAATTCTTATCTGAAAACTCATTTATTTCCAGTATTCCGCTCTGCACTCTAATCAATCAGCATCTCACCAGTCTAGCCAGGAAGTTTCCTACTACAAAGTTTTTGAAGAGCATCTCCACCACTTGTATTCCCAACTGGCCAGACAGTAATCTTCCTACGATATTCATCTACTGCAATGGAAACATGGTGAAACAACTCATTGGGCCACTCGAGTTGCATGGCATGAATTTGACTGTTGAAGGTAACATACTTGGCTTTAAACTATGATTCTTTCGTAAGGCATAAAGCAAAAAATATACATTGTATTATTTTGTCATGCAGAATTGGAGTGGATGTTGGGGCAGGCGGAGGCGGTACCGACGAAGATCAAGGAAGATCCTCGGCCCGTGGTGAGGGACGTTTTAACTTCAATGCTGAAGAACCAAGACGAGGAAGACTGGTGATCTTACTTGTGTTAGATAATTACAGTCACGCGAGCGAACGAATGTAACAAGTATTACGAGATCAGCGTGCGAGGAGAAAGAAGATTTTACACTTAATTTATTTTATACACTTATTGTCGCACAAGCGGAAGTCAACCAATTTGTAGATGTATCGCTTTCAAAATTTATGTACACATACTGTTTATTCCAATAAATATATTTTACTACCGTGTTACTCGTCGCTCATGTCACGATTATATATTCATGTTTATGTGCGTTACAAATCTTTGTGCGGACAAAATGTGTATCAGAAAATAGCTGCGCAACGATACGTTTAACGACGACGAAATATTTGTTATAAATTATAGAATAGCCGGCACCGACGAGGTAATACTAAATACCGTTAGCCCCAGGTAAATATCCGTGCCCCGGGGATCCTGAGGAACCCGGAGGTAATTTATAATTACCGCGATGTTATATCGATATGTATATCGAGACCGACAATGAAGTATATTAACTATTCTTAAAAACTGCACTTTTGCACGTATCATCTGAGCTTGTTTGACACAAATTTACCGACGAACTTATCGACTGGAGGTTAAACAGCGAAATCTTCCTGCAGGCTAAAATCCCGTAATGATCTTCGATCATCTCGTCGGTGTCACAAATTGCAAAATAACGCCCGATCCATTATCATGATTTAAATCTAATCGACGATCGACTCAACGGAATTGACAAATCGCATTGATCAATCCAGCTAATTCATGCAATGCGATTAGTTGGCAATACCGTTTCAAAAAGGTTGACACTTATGAGCCACACTTCAGACGGGGTACCGAATTCCATCGAGCGCCGCTGGGCTTTCCGGATCGTTTTTTGTTTCACGTGTATAGAGACCTCTGTAAGCTCAGCGGACTCCTATTGTGTAGCGCACGAAAAGGACGTAGCGCGTTAAGTTCGACCGGCTTCTTTTGCATAATCAGCCAGCACTCAGCGAGCAGTCAGCGTGTATACACCATGCGCAGTGTTTAATAAGCAAAAGGGCCGCACACCGATAGACCGTCGATGTTTATGATCCCGACACCCGTAAGAATCTTTCTCCTGTTTATCGCTCTTTCAAGGACTTCTCAGGTTTCTTTTTCTGCTTAACGGTAAGAGACTCTTCCATGCCTCTCTGTGAGTCTCGGCCGGCAGACTAGCTCACTCGCTCGCTTCTTTTAGTTGACCGCAAGCGATCAACGAATCCGCATTGTCGGGTCGACGGTGGTCTCCATGATCGTCATTGAATCGTTCGCCGGGTCTGCGTGAAAGCACGACGCGACGAGCGAACATAGAGCTGCAATGTGAGTTGGATAACCAACGTGAAGACACTTTTAAACGGCAATTGTCAATCTGCAGGAAATCTGGAAAAAAAATTTCGCTCACCGATTGCGTAACTTTTCCCCAACGTGCGGGAACGTGAAAAGTGAAAGTTCCAAATGTTCTCAAACCCGAACATTTACTGACTGCATTGAGAAAAAAGACAAAGGTTGAGTAATTCGTGAAAATAATCGCTTTAAATTTCGGGATCTAACAATAAAGACCAATAATCAGTGATCTCGTTGTTGTGAACATTTAATGCATACTTGGTGATGCCATTGCAACTGCACGACATGTTTAAAAGATGCTTTAATTTTAAAACATGCTATAGTTTAGAAAAATACTCATTTATCGTACCATCATTTTGATCAAAGTATTGACTTGTTACTACAATAATAATTTTCTAATTCGAGAACATTTATATAGAATTTTTACTTCGCACATCTTAGGGAAGAGTTACGTGACCGATGCCTGATCTTACGAGATCTTACCGAGAATCAAGAACGACACCTGTGCATACTATTCGTCCCGAGTTTAACAGGAATTTATTTCGCTGACCCGTTGGACACGATCAGGTGCGCTCATGGTTATCCTGCCGCATACTTGCAGACTCACGATGCGTGTGAGTTAGCATAACATAGGAGTTAAAGCTCACGTTGAATTAATTGTGTAAACGATAAGGCACGCTCCTCTCGGGGATGTTTGGCTGGCTGGTGTGCACGGTGTGTGAACATTCCGCGGTGTCTGCGGACTCTGATGAACGACAGCTGTGTGTACTTGACACTTTGGCTGCATTCGGCTAGCGCACTATCAGCGCTATTGCCCATTCTACCTTTTCCCTTGCTAGACGTTAAAACAAGGATAGAATGCGCTGATAGCGCGCATACCTAAACGTAGCCTTTGATTGTTGTTACATGTGTGACGGAACACGACGTTTCTGTTTTATTTGTTGCCTCTTCAATCAAGCGAATCAGTTCACGTCAACTTGAAGCAGTGTGTAATACGTATATACGCCGCATAGTTCGCGAATTTATGTTTAGGTCACTGCGTTGACGTTGCTCCGAAATATTTTGACGTGAAAACGTATGGATGTATACAGGGAAAAATCCATAAACATATACACGGTGATTCATATAAAGTGACCGATTTAATTATTAGCATTTTTTGTTTTGAAAATATAAAAATTTTCTATCAGCAAAATTTGGAGACATATAAAAGTAATTTTTATACCGATACTCGTTCAATACAAAGGGGAAGCATCATATAGTGGGAACGATTATTCGATGGGTGGAGACGTCGAGAATATTACAGGCTCAATTTCCTTTTTTTTTTCATGAAATTCGATATTTTTCATTTCATAGGATGATAGCTCTTTTTAAAAGACAAGTTCAGTGAGATAAATAACATAGCATTTCATTAAAAACATGAAGTTGATCTTGAAGTGTCCTTCAACGCCTTCCATCAGATAATCGTTTCCATTACATGATGATCCTTTGTATTGAATATATCGGTACAAACTATAGTTTCATATAACAAATTTCGCTAATAATTATATAAACCGGGGTCACTTCATACAAGTCACCCTGTATAGGGAGCCCTACTTACAGTGGGAAAGCGTTTGCAGCGATGGTATTAATATTTTATTGCTTTGTTTATTGCCTAAAGGTACCACGCTGAAACCGAGAATATGGGGAAAAAATCGCGAATTACGGCCGGAGGAAGTACGGAAAGTGGTAACGTGTATCTGTTTCGTAACATGGGATCCTTCGAGATTTTCACAGACGATGCGAGTCAAGCTGTACTATGCAATACGCAACCCACGCGAAACCTGCCGAATATTCTGAGGAGCAGCAACGCGAGAGCGTACAAAAATGACAAAACATTCATGTTGGACCAAGAAGACATCGCTTTCGTGTCTATCGCGGAAAGTGCAAACACATTTTTCGACTTAAACATCGGCGTCGACTCGGAAAAGGACAGCAAATATAATAATAAGATCGGGTCGCCGAAATCGCAGCATCAAAGGAAGCAGGTGCACCATCCTCTGGACACGCGATACGATGTGCCGGATTGGTGTAATAACAACAACAACAACAAAAATAATAAAGACAATTATGTGTTGCAAACGGTAGACGAGTTGGGGACAATATACGTTACATTAAGTCACGAGGAAGAAAATAGCCCGACGAAGAAGATGAACGTCGCGCACAATAGCGAAGAGCACAGATATTTGTTTAAAAAACCCAAAGGATCAGCGACTCGCAAGTCCAGCGACAGGAAGGCAGCCAAGCTGCCGGGTTTCCGCGCTACCGTTGCTGCGGATGCAAATACGACGGACAAAGCAGCCGCGTCAAGTGACACGAAGAAAAGTTTCCTCGGCGACGACGTGCTTCCCGGCGTCATCGAAACCAAGTCGAGCGAGGGGTCCGATATCTTCCACCGCAACGGTGATATTCGCAATCTCGACGGGAAGTACAATGCGAATTATAGCCATGTTACTTCCGGCAAGTCGACGGAGTGCGATGCGACGCAGCAGGTCGCGTCTGAGAAAGACCCGTTGAGCTACGAGTTCTCATCAAGGGAGGACGTAGCTTCGGAAGAAGATTTGATCAACAAGAACAGGTCGAATTTCTTATTCGCGTCCGAGGTGCTGTGCACCTGTACGTGTGAAAATTGCACGTTCTCCAGCGAGAAAGACTTCGTACTGTACGAAGACTCGGTGCCGAATTACGCGAACAGCGACGCGGAGAGCGAACATCTCACGCCCTGCTCGTACGATTTCTACACCAACGATTATTATCACGTGTTAGGCGACGTGGACGACTTCGACAAGACGATTTTTTGCTACAAAGAGCCCGAGGATACGAACGTCACGAAGTGGAGCGCGTGCGATGGCAACAGCGTCGGTAACGGCGGTGTGGAAAAATCGATCGAGAGTAACGCCAACGAACCGACATCCGTGAAGCAACGTGAATCGAAGGATTCACAGGCACCTCGTGCCGATAGAACGCAAAAGCTCCGCGTGGAATCGTGTTCCGCAGAACTCGTCGTGCACTCGGATGAGCGGGGAAGATCGACGGGACCTTCGAAATCTACTGTGGAAAACGCAGAAAATCACGACGATACGGACGACTACGTTCGTTTCAAAAGGGACTCGGTTTCAGCGAAGAAAAGCAAAGCGATATCTCCAAATCAAGCTACCACCTCGACCAATGTTGCCGTTCTCGATCCTACTGTCAAAAATCAGACGCGTAGGACCAAGAAAGGTAAGTTGGAAGGAAGCTGTAACGAATTGTCAGTTCTTAGTTTTCACGCATATTTGAATCGCTCTTATTTACGACAAATGTATGTGATGAGTAATTTTCTCCCTCAGATATATGTGTCATCCAGTGTACACGGTGTGAAAGAGTGTTCAGCGAGAAGAAATTTCGGAAACATTTCACCTACTGCAGCTTCTACAAGGAGAACTTCAAGTGCCACATCTGCGGCAAAGTATACAGGTAAGAATATCGGTGATCAAGCGTGGGCTTCTGCTTTCTGTTGATGGGGCGTATAATTATGCTGAACGGTTTCACACAGGTATAAATCGTCATTGGTGCATCATCTGAAAACCGCGCATCATATGTCGTACGGCCCCTATGAGCAGTATTACGTGTGTAGCAGGTGTGGCAAACTGTACGTTAGATTTCGCGCTTTCCAAAGGCACATGCTTATTCATAACATTAATAAGAGTACGACCGAGCATGACAGCTTGTTCCTAACTTAAAATCTTCGGGGTCTGTTTTCGCAATTATTATATTGCGAAAATCCTACTTCAGGTCATCGTGAAGGCACTGCAGTATTAATTGTTTAAGTGATCTGATCATTACCATTAAGTTAAGACTTAAGTAGTTATGTATTGCGACCTATTTTATATTTTATTGTAGTTAGTATTTTATATCTTGATTCTCAACTTTTTTTATACTCTGTTATCATTTTTTTTTATCGTTTAGAGATCTTCCTTTTTTTTATATATTTTTTTGATTTATAGTTTATTACAGTGACATATTTTTTGTACATCACATATTCTTTGCCGGATTACATACAAGATTTGATAACATATTTTTTTTTTTTTGGGAAAGGGGGCTGAGTTAACATATGTTAATGTTGGAAAGTAAATTATTGTGAAACGAGGAAGTGAAGAATTTTTTCGTTCAAGGAGAATTAACTTGAAATTCCTCAAAGGATATGTGACTGGAGGGAGAGAGAGAGGGAAAAAGAATATAATAAGCATATATATAATTTTTATTAAAGACTTATATGTTTTATTACTTTCCTTTTCTTTTTATTATTGCGAACTGAAAACAACCAGTTTATTACGCCAATACTGGAAAAATATGAATGAATAACTTTTTTATGTTTCGACGATATTACCGATTTAAAAAAACATTATCTTTAGAAGATCTATAATTTTGTAATAATTTTCTTCGCAACCTCTGGTTTTTACATGAAATAATACTTTGCGAATACTAGTCGTCACGCGTCGATAAAAGTCGTTTACTTAATTGCCATAAGAACTGACAAGTACGAGAGCGATGTCATCATAATCTGAGTGCATGTCGAAGAGAGTATTAATTAACACTAATATAATAGTTGAAAGGAGTTTAAAAAATTAATTTCTGCACTGAAGAGAAAACTTACTGTTTTGTAGTAAGAGAGGGTCATCGTAGCGAATCTCCCAGCGGTAATTTTGCAGGGTCTCCTTGAACACGCTATTAACAATATAATAGGTCGGGCGTAATTCCGCGGGAAATTGATCCATTCTAAATTATACGCCGTTCTTCCAATATTTTCGCTCTTCGCCAGTCACCATGCACGAGAGAATTACGTTAGTTGGTTATTAAATTACAGAAGAAGATGAAAGAATTTTGTCAGAACACTTCAAGTGTCTCAAAGTAAATCGCGCGAGTTCGAGTGACTCGCTATAATTATAATAATCTAGATATTCTTTTTCTCTTTCCCTCTCCCTCCCTTAATAAAATCTACAAGTTCTGAGATTCTCATGTCATTATTATTATTTTTTTCTTTATACACGCGGTGTATAGGTGTAGTTTATCATATTGTTATCTTAGAACTCTGTAAGACGAAGCGAAAGAGGAAAAGTTACAATTGCGATAACGTATTTGTATATTACCTTCTCGATAATACAATCCCCAATATAGCAGTATATGAAGATGTAGAACGTAAATGTTATACCATATATGATGAACGCGATGAAACCGGTGACATTGCTGACACGAGCAAACTGAAACGAGAAATTTTCTTTCTCAGACGGGTTAATGATACTATCCGTGTATGATAATTATATCATTTTGTGAAAAATATAAGAATGTAATATATTGTATTTAAGACTTCACATTACAGATCAAAGTTCAGCGGCACGCTCGCCTCGGGGATCAGACTGGATCTACTGTAGACGTAGTAAACTTTTAGCTTTTTTTTTCTCTCCATGTGTCGGCGGGGAGAAAGAAGTAATTCCACATGTCATGTAATATGGAAAGCGGAAAAATATCTTTTTTCCGCTTCCCATATTACGAAGAAAAGGGAGAGTAAGAAATATTCCAATTTAGCGTGACGTAATTGTTGAATGGTCCTAAGACTTTAACGCGATTCAGGAACAATACATTACAATATACGCTTATTTAGCCCTGTTGTATACTTATAAGCATTATTCCCGCTACCAGAACGATTTGGAAGCCTTGAAATGCCAGGATAACAGTGGTCGCCAATAATTGACACAGGATAAAGTTGTTGAAGGATTTCTCTACGACATCCATGTAACTGAAAAACACCGTCGATAAGAATTCTCATTAACCTCGGGGAAAGAAAAAACTCGGACCCGACGCGGACGAATTTCGCCCGTCGGAGACGCGTACTTGATGATATGCACGTGTCGCTTCACGATGCACGACAGGCAGGCGCAGGTGTGGGAACGCGCGTCCTTGCGATCGTGTTCGACGGCGTCATAGTGTCGCTCCAACGTTGCGGCCAACACCTCCAACTGCCCGCACGCGTGGAACACGATGACGCAAACAAAGCAGTCCACAGAGAAGATCACCATGCCGCCGATAACGCCCGTGATCGATTGCACGACGTAGATCATCTCGTACACGTACGGCTGCTCCAGAGAAAAGGGGAAGTACGCGTCCACGGGCAGCCTCCTGCCGGTCGCGTTGCCAGGATAGCTGTTCAGCCACGTGTTCCCGAATGGCGTTATTACGTACACTGGAAGTGAGGTATCGCTCGTGTCATTATTACGAATTTATTTGCGAATTAATCGGTAGTGATTTTTTTTTTAACACGTTGACAGTCGCGTTGATTTCCTTTGATTATACGGAAGCTCAACTGCCCAGGTAGCAGAAATTTCTAAAGAACTTCTTGAAAAACATCTTGAAGACGTTTAAAAGACGTCTACTACTTGTTCGGAGTCTCTTAAGTGCTTTGGAGACTTTCAAAGTGTTTTCTTTCAGAAGTTTCGGCAACCTGAGTGACGATTGGATTGTCAAAGATACATAAATATATAATGTAATTCGAGGATAACGCATAAATCTTTCATTTTGATACGTATTTGATACGTTTCGTACGATCTCCACTTGAGTGTATAATATATTTAATATATTTTATAATATAATAACGAATAACGTAATATATTAATAACAACAAAAAATACCCCGATCCACAGATTTATGCGAGAGCGCCCGAGTTCGAGAACACGCCTTGCGATTCTCCTCACCTGCGATCGTCAGTATCATCCACACGATGCAGACCACATTGATCCGCCTGCCCCTCTTGGCGTAATGGAACATAGTACGGCGGTTTCGCACCGACAAATGCCGATAGTTGGCCCAGTCGTGGCTCATGCTGCTCAAGACGACCCGTAAGTTTTGGGCCTTTATCTTCATGACGAGGAAACGCACGAACATCGGTAACGACGGGAGCGTCATGTTGACCTGATTCATTATCGCCACCCAATCCGTTATCATAAATAGGCACGTAACCACGGGCAACATGACAACAATCATCAGCCCGAGGATCACGCTGCACTTGAGGTAGGAGAGACGCGCGTCCAACGGCCACAGGCCCAACAGCCGCATGCTCCAGCGATTAACCGCGACCGCGTAATTGAAACTGCCCGCTTCCTCGCCGCCCGCCGACGCGCCGGATTCTACCCCGTCGACGAATTTTTCCGTCGCCGATAATTTCGCACGAGCCATCTTCTCGAACGAGCCCAATGATATCGGGATCGCGAGCTGCCACGGATTTTTTCGACCGGCGATTTTTTTTTCTTTCCTTTTTCTTTAACAGTGACGTTAATTTTTTAAGCGATACTCGTTTCAAGTTACGCGAACATGTGTCCGTTAACGTGCTTTTAATCGACGCGCCTTCGAGTACTTTATACCCCGATATCCTCCGGCTGATCAGTTTCGACTGACGCTAGGGTAACGTCGCAAGTTGCGACATCATTCTTCGCTTACTCGAGATACAATTGTTTCTATGAATCAGTCCCCCCCTCCCCACCCCCTGCCCCGATATAGTTAATCGATCTCCTAATCGCTCGGCAAATTACGAGTTTATTACCCCGTCCGTCATTTATTTAATTGCGGTCCGCGTTAATTTCGGATTAATGACGGTTTCGTAAAACACGGTTACGTCTGTTGACAAGGCTAATTACTAATAATTACGCGGACGTGACTGGAAAATTGATTTCCGCAACGAATCGTTGTTTCAAGTACCTCCGAATAAAATCGACCGTCGCCTGCTACGTATTGAACTGTCATTGTTAATTTCATTTTTAAATTTCACATTATCATAATTATAAACTTGTTATGAGAGAGCTGGTACAGACGCGTTTGAGCATTTCTTCCTTAAATTTTGATTAAAATTGCGCAAATATAATTTACATGATTTCCTTTCAAATATGATTTATACTAAAATTCTCGTACACCTAATAGCCTCCTCGAACAAAATTTAAATAATTTTGCAGGAGCACACAAATCATATTGTCACATCCTCCGTGGATTAACCAATTCGCCAGTTTGAACAAATTCCAAGAGCTATTTTGAAGGATTTTCCGGAAGGACACGGAGAGACCGGGTCGGGAATACACACCGCGAGGTGCAGAGGGAAAGGGCTTCACTTCCGGTGTTCCGGCTCCAGACTTCGCGATTCCGATCACGAGGTAGCGCCGCGAAATATCGCCCGTACGTCGCTATTTACACGTTCGGTTCTCGGCCGTAAATTGTAACGGGGATTCGCCCGTCACGTAGCCCGTCGAATTTACTGACGATCGTGCAGCGACGGGTAAAAGGGGGCGGCTTCGCCTTTTTAACGACGTACGATATTGCCGGGCCGAGTCGCCTCCGGTGCGTTGTAACGCAGTATCGACCGCGCTCGGCTCATCTCGCGAGATGCCGCGTATCAACGCGGCGTAATCTTCGCGGCCTCGATCGGCATTGTACCTGGCAGGCAGGCCGGCGCGGCAAACTGTCTCGATAAATTTTAATTAAGTGGAATTTTAAGCGAGTACGCCGATATACGTCTTTTCCCCTTCTCTCTCTCTCTCTTTTTCGCTGTCTTTACCGGCGCGCGCAACCCAGAAGAATTTCAATTCAAAGACGGTGAAACAGAGTTGCTCGCTTTCGCACAGGAGACATATTTAAATTTAATTTGCGATAATATACGCTGTGGTGCGATTTTTCAGTTATCCCTTTTTTCCCATTATCACAGTACACCCTTTCCGGGTAACACCAATTAACAGTAACATAATTTCAATGTTATATTCAACAATGTAACTGTTACATAACACGCACGTTATATTACATTTACATTGTTGAGTGGAAAACATTGTAACGTTGATGTTATGTTACGGTTAAGTTGGTGTTCACTGAGACGGATATATAACTGGAAAAATATCGGCACGCGATTTTGTTACAACTTATCGGAGTGACTAATTAGAATCGACGATACAAGAAGGTGCCGCGTGCGACTCGGTGGTCGCGAAGAAAGGAAGCGCTGATAAATTGGTCGAAAGAAACGCTTCCCCGCGGACGGGAAAGCCTCGAGTTTCGCGGAGAATTTGCGGGAGATTCGAAAGAAGGGGGAGAAAATCTATACGTCTTTGGTGTTTCTCGTCGAACATCGATATTAATCCCCGGTATCGGTAAACGAGTATCGACGTGAGAATACGGCTGGGTGGAGGGGAGGGGTAAGAGCGAGGTGCCTATATATATTCCCTAATATATCGTAATATCGTCAAAGAGGTATCAGCCCGGTAGTCCGCCGCGGGATATCTTTATTCCGAGGCCGCGTGCGTGCTACCCCCCGCGGTCCCCCTCGCCTTCCTTCACCGACGGTGAAAAGGGTAGCTCTCGGTGGCGCCGTGTCCGGTCAAAATGGGAACGACACAGCTTGCGCTGGAACCGCGCAGATCCTCCTCAGTAGTTGCCCAGACGCTGTCACGGGCGTAGCTGGATGCTGGACCGTCTCTCTCTCTCGCGCGCGCGCGTGCCGCAGGGAGGCGCTTCCTTTTCTTCTTCCTCTTCCTCCTAATCACGTCCCCTGTCGTCGACGACGTCGCCGCTGTCGTCGTCGTCGTCGGCGATCGCGGCCGTCGCGCTCGTTAACACGGCTCGATCGCCACCTCCGAGAGCGAGGAGAAGACGCCGGGAGAAAAGGGAGGCCGACGACGGACGCGAAGGGTTTCTCCTGCCGGCGTGACAGAGGAGGAGGGGGAGAGAGAGGGTGACAGACAGACAGATAGAGAGAGAGAGAGAGAGAGACAGAGAGAGAGAAAGAGAGAGAGAGAGAGAGAGAAAGTGAGGAACGGACAGGTGGATCGAGACGAGAAGGGGGTAGTCGGAAGGAACGAGAGATATAGCACGAGACAGAGACCGACCGTCGGAGGAGAGGTGTTGCTCAAGTGTATGGTCTGTGTATGGTGCAGTGCGGTGCTGTGCTCGAGAGAGAGAATGGCGTGGACGGATTTCGACGCGTGCATCTCGTCGTGACGTAGAAAGGTAAGAGGCCGAGCGCCGCCTTCATCACTCCTCATCATCATCGCCGAGCTGTGACCCTCTTCTTCGTTTACCGTCTCTGTCTTTCCGTCCCCCATGGAACGCGTCGGGTTCCATGCGGTCCGCGTCAAGTGTCCGGCGCACACGCCGCGAGATCGTCACCCGTCGAGTTTTTCGCCCGGTCATACCCTGATCGTCGCGTGACCGGGCTATCCGTTAATCCGTTAATCCCCGGACTCGATACTCGGAATGGACAGTGACCGTCCATCTAGCCGTCGACCGGCGCGACGCCGCGTCGCGCCGTGCGGTGCATCCTGTCGCGTGTCTGCGTCTGACGCGACGCGTGCTTTTACTACTGTCGGCGCCGTGCGCGCTGGCCTCTGGTTCTACTTGCCAGCGCAGCGCCCACGAGGAAACCTACCACCACCAGGCCTACGCAGATGCCCGAGCCGAGAAATTTAGGCTTTATATTATATCTTGAATTATACGACAGGATGAAAGTTAAATAGGAGACCAACTTAGAATAATAGTTTGCTAAATATCATCGTGCACGAAGTAGGAGTACATGGGAAAAAAATGTTTGGTAGAAATCTACTCATGACAATGGACAGCCGAACGCGTTTCAGTTGAAGATAACGGAATTTCTGGTTATGAGAACTGAATTTTGTTCACGAGAACTAAAATTCCGTTTTTCTTTCGAACAAGGCGCACAGGGTTGTCCATTGTCAGGTAGATTCAACCAAACTTTCTTTCCGTGTAAATAATATCATTAGAATTCGAATTGAAATTAGAATTCTATTTTACTGTCTAGTCAATTTTACTGTCCAACTGTCTGTCTAGTTTTAGCGTCGAAATAGGTTATTTTGAGTGAACACTCATATGAATTTAATAGTCGAAATATCGAGAGCATTTAGGCTCCACAGCCGGATCCACAGCGGGTGTGGTAAGCCTTTAGTCTTTTGCTCTAAGCAATAAAAATATAACGTAATTGATAAAAGGCATTCCTCGTGCTATCGAAAATTGTAGTAATATTCACATTTTTTAGATATTGCGATGTCTAAACGCTGGAAATTACATTACAACTTAGTGAAACAAAAAAGCTTGTTATATTTATCGTAGATCTGGACTTATAGCTTCAAGGTAGTATTAAAACTAAATCTGTAGAACAGAAGTTAACAGGTGTATATTGTATAATAGATATAATATTATCATACATAAATACATTTGCCTGTGTGTGTCTAGAATAAGTTTGATTACATTATAAAACATTAGTCCTTGTGCGTGCGATTAATGACAGACAGACTTGACATCTCGCATACGCAATATATTCTTGCCCGTCTCAATTCAATCTATGATCAATTTATTTCATTTATTTCACGATTCGTTCAACGGTTTATTTTAATAATTTCGAAGAAAATAATTCGCGATAGAAGATTGCATAGGTCTCTGGTATATGTTATTCGCTAGATACACATGACTCCGCGGAGCTGATTGAGCCGCGCACGCAATGACGCGGCTAACATTTTTATACTCTCTATCTATTTACCCATCTCCGAGAGTTCCTGAAAGCTGCATGTGTTACGCATACATACACACACATACACACACACAACACTCTTTGCATTCTAAACAAGGTGGGTATACAATAAAAGGAGAACAAAAAATTAAAAGAAGTTCCACCGCTCGTTGGCCGCGTGATAGAAATAAAAGAGAACCGGCGAACAGTTCCGCTAAAATACAAATACCCGGGCTATACGCCTGCTGCTTTCGCCAGTGCGGCCTGAGAAAATGTTTAATTTCACGGATGAAATTTACGACTGGCGCTCACATAAGCCGGTGAATTTCACTTTTACTACACCCCCCTCCCCCTTGTACAATTGTAGGAAAGAAAAAAATCGAAGAGGAAAAAAAGAGAGAGAAACGCGCTTCGTTATCGTATTATTTATGAGGAAGGAACTTATTTATCTTGACGAGGGGTTGTTGGTAGAACCGAGGGGGAGAAAGCAGGAGAGGGTGGAGAGAGCAAGCGAAAAGAGCCGAGACTCAATAAACGGGGAATGCCTCGGTGTATACGTGGCGGATAGTAGGCAAGGATCACACATGACGTCGGTCGATAGTGCTCTCTCTCTCTCTCTCTCTCTCTTTGGAGAAAGTATAATTTCTTTCGCAAATCTCTCTCTCTCTCTCTCTTCTCCGCCGACGCGGCCGGCATGCTGAACATACCGCGCGTTTGATCGCGATCGCGTCGGCTGGAGGCGTATGGATGACGAGAAGGGAAATTGCGTGCGGAAATATTTACGCTCATACGGTATCTTTTCTCTCACAGCCGATGACATTCCCGACAACTTCGCGTATGCTCGTGATGCGCGTTAAAAATTCGCGGCCATCGGCTATTTATTACTTCCGCGGCGTGCTCGTAGCTTCGTCTCCTCGGAGTTTGCCTCCGTCGCTCACGACAGCGGAACGACGGAGGCAAACTCCGCATATCTTGGATCCATTCCCCTCCCATCTTATTCTTGTGGATTTTACAATGTCCGTTGCGTCCCTCGGCTCGACTGTCACGCGTTAACTTTTTCGCTGATCCGCAAGAGAGAGAGAGAGAGAGAGAGAGAGAGAGAGAGAAAGCAGAGTAGAGTAAAATAGGGAGTAGATTTTCTTCCAAATTGTCAATCGTTTTCTAATTTTAGAGACTTGTAGATAGTATTTTCATCAATTTGTAGCTAATATTTAAAAGGATTCCTAAAAAAATAATTTGACGGATCAACTACCTTAAAGATGGAAAATCATGACACTAAAATTTCTTGTTAAGAAAGAAAGAGAGAGAGAGAGAGGCAGCAAATGGAAAATAAATCGCACTCATCGAGATATCGCCGGAAATTGTACTCTCTTCGCTCCGTGCAGCTCGCGCGAATTCTCACTCCGTGTAATAGATTCGCCTCGTTCTCGACGTCGCCTCGGCTCATTAGCCCCGAATCAACCCTCGTTCGCCGAGAAGAAGAAGCAGAATAGACGGAATGGAGGAGAAAAAAATCTCACGATTCGGCTCATACGCATCGCTCATGCTTAATCCTGTTTCCCTTCGAAATACGTACCTTCGCCATTAAGCCTCGAATTAAATTCGGACGAGGAAGACCGAGCGCGCGCGCGCGAATTATGCGAGAAAGAATTTCGCAACCGGAGCGCCCGAGAATAATCAGGGGTAACCCCCGTGTATCTCTGAGTCCTCCGCACCAGTTTTGGTAGTAAAGTTCTTTCTCTTCCTCCCCTTTCTCTCTCTCTCTTTCTCGGCCACCGGATTTATGAATTTGTAATTAACCCGCACTTTGTGCATTCGCGCGCATCCACGCGTGATATCCGCCGCGAAAAGAGCGCGGATTCCGGAGCGGGTAGGTAACGGGGACGGTTTATGGGTAGTCCAGACGGCGCCTCGTCTGTGTGTGCGATGGAAAAATGCGTGTCGAACGACGTCGGTACTTTTCCGAGGCATCGGGACTGCTGGCCATCGCCGGAGAACGTTTCCATTCGCCGGATACACGACGTGGTTAATCCACGTCGCCACTGCCGCCGTCGGCGGCGGCGAAGGGCTGGCGAGAATTCCGGGCTAAACGATACTCGGTCGCATTCGCGGCCGTCCCTAAACCGTCAGCTACATCCCCTCGCTCTCCCGGTCCTGTAACCGCGTTATCGTCGCTCACGGTACCTCGTCAGCGACGTTGATAACGCGTGTCAAGCATACGTTGTTGCGCCCAAAACTGGAATCCCATCAGGCGCGTTCTGCCGGAATTTAAGCCCGCGTTTACCGTATGCCCGCGCGCTGGCGCATGACGCTCGCGCCTCGGCTGCTCCTCATCGTGGGCATACGGTGAATGCTTAATAGAGAGTACGATGAGATACGGTGCGTATGAGAGAGAGAGAGAGAGAGAGAGAGAGAATAGGAATTTTCCCAGATTTTCCCAGATTATATAGCACAGATTCCGACTGGAATATTCAAAAGTTTTTCCAAAACGAGTTATCCCACTACGATATCAATTGGGAACCTCATTATCTCAAACATAGGATGAAACTTCTCTTCCGCTATGCCGATTGGCTGTGTGCCGCAGCTTGTTTTGTGCTGCGACCGCCATCTCTTTTCCCCTCCTTTTCCCCTTCCCCTCCCTCTCGCTCTCTCTCTCTCTCTCTCTCTCTCTCTCTCTCTCGCATAGTGGTTTCAGAATAGATATTTCTTGCATGGAGAGAAGGGTTTTGCTAGAGCGACAAATTTATTTGTTAATATAGCACAAGCAAAAAGATTTGTTACACGGAATATGAAATAATTTTGATGCTGCAGCAAAACGTCATTGCGATAAAATTTAGTTGGCACAACCAAGTTATTTTGCTGTCCATATATCCAGCAAATAACAATGAATATTCTTAACAAATCTTTCTGCTGTCCAAACAAATCTTTTTGCTATTACTATATTAACGAACAATTTCTAATCAGAACCTGCGTAGATTTCCTAACTAGAATCCATAATTATTTTGGCAAAAATCGGACTGGATCCCAATTAGATCCCAAAATAGTTTCTATGAGAAATCGTCTTAATCACTCGTTATTTTTCTCCTGTCATCGGGGCGATCGCGAGATTTATCGACGAAGGTTCGCAGATGGGCTCACGAGATAGTACCCTTCATCAGAGAGAGAGTTCGTGAATCGCGCATTCCCCCTTCTCCTCTCTCTCTCTGTCTCTCTCTCTCTCTCTCTTTCGCTCTCTCTTTCGCCATTCGAGAACTTGTCGAGGGTAAACGATGTGTGTGAATCCGCTCGTGAACGTGCTCCATGATAAGGCACGGTAATGACAGGTAAACGCGCAGCGCAATATAATCGCTTGATAAATTACTGCGGTGTAACCTTAGGCGGGGATCACTTTGACGCAATTGACGAGGGCAGAATTTGTGCTCGTCACTGCGGTATTGCGGTATCGAATAATGAGAGTTTGCGGTCATCGTTTTGATTGTACGATACA